GGTTTTTTTTTTTTTTTTTTTTTTTTTTTTTTTGTACCTGGGATCGAACTCGGGTTCTTGAGCTTGCAAGGCAGGTGGCGGAACCGCTGAGCTAAATCCCTGGCCTAAACTAGGTGGATTTTTAATATAACCTAAATAACTTGTCGATTGTTTTTCTATATTGATTTAAAATATATTATTCTTTTGTTTCACTTTGTGTGTGCCAAATGTGTAACAGTTCAACCTCAATCAAGTGTAATTTCTGAGAGTCAAAGCAATGTTTGTGTGAGTGTAGGCACATGGGGATGTTTAATGTCTGTCTTAATTTCTAGTTTCTTTACCTGTGTTTTGGAGTTTTTGTTGATATACTGAGTAGAACTTAATGTGTTACAAGATTTATCTGCTTAAACTTACTGGTTGTGAGTCTTTTTGTTCTTTAAAGGTTTTATTCTGGTCTAAGCTTACCTTTGCAGAGTTCCATGTAACACTGTACTTTGGTCTGTTTTCCTGCTTTTCCCTGTGATAGTAGTCAAAAATTCCTTAGAGATTGAGGCTGGGACTCCCTCCTGACTTAAGAGGGGATAATGGTCCAATGAGCATAGATGGTACCAGAGGAGAAGTAGGCTTATTTTGAAAATCATGGAGTAAAATGAAATCATATTTTGCTTTTTATTTTTTTAAACTAAGTTCAGGGAGTGGGTGCTCAGTCATAACTCTTGATACAAATATTGAACAATACACAATTTTTTTTTCTTGTAAGAATTGGGTTTGGCTGTGGATCTGGTTGGCTGCAGCGCTAAGTTATTTTTCCATTATGCCATCAGCTATTCCCATGCAAATGGAAGTGAACTGAATTCATAAGGAAATTAGTAATTACCCTATTGGTGGCCAGATGCAAGAACAGCCAGCAGTGGTAGCTTTTCTTTCCTGCCTTTGTGGAAGGTGAACTAAGTTGAGCAAGAGTCACAATAGTGAAGCCAGAGTGGCTTCTACAGGGAGGTGAAAAGAGAAGCTCTTTGCTAGCTTGTGTCTTGAATGATGACCGCTTTTGCAGCGGAGTGGGGGGCTGTTGAGTGTCTGTACAGATTTTTCACACATGCTTCACCCGATGTTGCCATCCTTAGCTTGCCTGTCTCTGCTAGAGTAGGAACACCTCAAGCTTGAAGGCTGGCTGTTAGCTCACCATGCTGGCCTTGTAGAGGATCCAGCCCAGTGGTGATGGTACTCAACAGTTGTTGAATGCTTATTATGTGCTTTAAGGGCTTTATCTGTGTCATAATCATTAGAGAGGTAGAAATCATTGTCCCACTTTCAGATTCTGAAACAAAGGCACTAAGAGCAGTTACTTGGTTGTGCATCCACTATGTGGCAGGGCCAGGGTTTGAAGACATGCTGGCTGGCTCAAGAACCTGCTTATCCTGTGCTGCTCCATTGACCATTTGCAGCCAGTACTGATGGAAGCCATTATAGCATCTATCTGTCCTACTAAATGGGAATAATACTAAATACCTGTAAAAATGAGATAACTTTTAAAACTTAAACTTAACAAAATAATAGAAGATTAGTAACAAAGTCTCCACATGGTTTCATTTTCTGACAGTTCTCAGACTGAAGAGTACCTACCACAGACACAAGGAGTAACTTCAATCTTGCGTGTTAAAGACATACTGTTTTTGGACATGATTGCAGTAGGCTTACTTGTAAGAAACTGTGGGTCTTCCTGCTTTCATACATGTATTGCTGTTGGGGGAGTGTCATGTTGTGCTTGGTATAGCTTGGTAACACCTAGTTCCTTTCATGTCACAATTTGTAGTTTTAAGTGTCTTGCCTTTTGTTAGATGATCTTGTTTTCATCATTTTCTTCATGAGTCAATCCATTGCTTTCAGTTAGACTTTAACCTTTTTCTAAAGAAATAATTCCACATAAAACTAAAGGTTTGTCTGCTTACCTCAAGGATGATTCTGGGAAGTGACATAATGACCTGTGTCTGGGTCATCAGGTAGGATGTGCCCTCCTAAGATGTTACAGTTTTTCAAAGAAACATTTTTCATTAGGGAAGGTGACAAGAATTAGGAAAATTTGGGCTTCAGTCAGTAAGTTACTATGTTTCATTGAGTATAAGAGAAATGTAATTTCAAGGATAATTAAATATGGGGAAAGATAGAGTCAGTGAAATATGGTATTGGTAAATGTAGCACTTTTGAGTCATAGTGATTATCGTTGGACATTCAGTATTTATTGTGGGCTTTCAGTATTTGTCATTGGTCTTTGTGGACACAGTGTTTGCTTGAGTTATTTCCAGTCTGATTGTAAAATTTTAAAATTTCCTCTTAATAGCTACACTGTAGGGCAGAAAAGGATTTCAGAAAAGCAATTTGGGAAGGCTCCCCGAGAACTTTGTAAGGGAAATTAGATGTGTGCCTTTTGTGAGATCAGTGCATTTACTAGTTATTAAGCAATGTTTAACATATTTTTAACATGTTTTAAATCAGGTTGGTGAACAAGAAGTTCATAGAAGGTCATAGTAAGTTGGCAAGATTGATGGTGTATTAAGTCATACCCTTGATGTTTTCATTCCTTGATTCTGAAAGTCTCTTGTCTCATAGGAGGTTAGGGTTCAGTGTGTCTGCCATTTTCCAGCTCTGAAGGTCTCTGCTGAGCCTTAGCTTGCTTACCTAGAAATTACACTGAAAGATTTTTGAGATCATACAATGTATGGTGCTTTTGTAACCTGTAAAGCAGCATTCCAATTGTTAATTTATTTGAAAGTGTTTGAATTTAGTTTTTAGTTTATTTAAACACAAAAATAGCAGTTTCAACGTTTTTCCGACCCTCCTCTCCATTCTCTGTGCTTATCCTATATGCCGTCTGATTGGTCTAGTCTCTTGATTTTTCCATTATTTTGTGACTTATCCTTTTTTCCTTGATTCTGTTTCTTTTTCAACCTTGAAGGTTTTTTTCTTCCTTCCTAGTTTCTGCTGCTCACTGATCCTTCTAATTCCATCTCAAATTCCACATTGTTTATGGTTCTCTTCACATTGGGTATTCTGTTTTGAACTCTGGACTTTTCGTTCACTTTGCACCAGTTGCTTGGCAGTTGGCTATGTCCTGCTTCATAGATTAAGCTTGTCTCTTCAACTTGATGTCAGTCAGGGTGTGGAAAGTTGTGATAGGTGGGAAAGCATTGTACAAAGGGATTTGGGTACAAACCCATTTCTACCCTCTTTAACTAGCCTTGTGTCAACTTGGCAAGGTACTTACCTTTTATTTCCCTGTCTGGAATACAGGGGTGCTATTACCTGTGACCATTAGAGTAGTCGGTAGTGCAGGAAATGTATGGAAAGCACTGTCAGGAAAAATAGGAACTGGTACCTGCTTGAATGCTGTTTGAATTGACTCTGGCATAAAAGAGCTGATGCTGTGCTGCTCCAGGAAACTAAGCCAAGAAAAAGGAAGGGTGTTGCAGGGCTACAGAAGTCACAACAATACACTGAAGGCTTGTCAGTGCTGGGTGTTAGAAGTGGAGAAATGCACTTTAGATAGAGACACAGTACTA